AAAAAAGTGCCCCACGGTGTAACTGTGAGCTCCATTTCAAATGCAGGCAGATTATACACTGTTTTTGTGCAAAGCCTTCAAAATAAAAGGTTGGATACTGAATGAACCACCTCAGTTCAGAGATAAAGACTGAGCAAATGAAAGAACAGATTAACAGGGAGGTTTCCTAGCAACTGACTCAAGATAAGAAGCTTGCTCTCACAGGAAGAGTAAGTGCAATTCTCTTCACTTTTAAGAACCAAATGTAAAAGTTACTTTACTGCAAAGCAACTCACAACCTCTTAGGATTTATGAAATGTAAAGGAAAAAATCCACGTACGACTTCCTCTCTGTGAGGTTGTGGGATTGCTGAAGAAGTATTCATTCACCAACAGCAAGCTCTCTGCAAGCTGGCTTTTTTTTTTCCCCCTCTGCAAATCTCCAGCATCAGGGCAATGGGTGCAAAAGACAAATCCAATAAGGTGACTCTCATTGAGCAAAGTATGCATATTACACGTCCCTTGTAGCCTTTTTGAGTTTCAAAAAGCAAATGCTATCTATAGGTGGCACCGATTCTTGTGAAAAATTACTTCAAGCATTACCTTATGGGGAGAGCTAATTAGATACAACTATGAACACACACAACTATGAACTCAGGTAACACACAGTGCTGGAGCAGAGAGAACGATAAACTGGCACAGTCCTCAGCACTGGAGCTGCCCAGAACCTGATGAATGAGATACTTGGGAGCATAATATGAATTATACAATAATTTGTTGTCCTAGGAAGAACCATTAGACAGATAGCATTGATATCTGTATTATTATTTATTTGCTGCTTAATGAAGACCAGGAATGGGTTACGTGTTACAGTAGGTCTACAGCTCATGCTGGCTTTGCAGGTTACATTTAGCTTTCTTTAAAATTATTAGAAGTTGACTGTTAAACCTATCTGGGTTGGGGGTTTTTTTTGGCTTTTGTTTTTTAAGCCTTAGGTTCAATAAAGTCCACACAGTAGAAATTCCTACTGAACAAATATAAATACTTTTGATAGTTGGCTAAATGGGTAATACATGATATTCAGAACACTGAGGAATATAGATTTTTCTAATAAAATACTACTTTGAAAGAGTGCACTTATTGTAAAATATGCCCTGTCACAGAAGAACATAAAATTAGTTGAATAAAAACCAGCTTTTAAAAGCATACACTTAATAAAATCAAAATTTAGATGCAGAAAAATAAATTTAACCACCTCTAATTTCAGCTTTGAATAATATTGGGACCATATGGTTGCTGAGACACCAGGCAGTTATAACTCAAGTTAGTCCAGATGAGAGCTCTGTCTACAGTGTTTGCATCCATGTCACCCAGTTTATGTTTTCCCCAAAGGGGAGGGTATATCTCTGCTTGTGCTGACGCATTGTCTTTTTTCCACTGAGAGAAGACTAAAAGCAGAAGACAAAGTTTCTGATCTTGGACATTTTTCTTAATGGAGCTTCTGCTGCATTCCCACTTAGCAGTCTTTTTAAACTGGACTGTAATCACTCAAATTTAAGCAGCTGCAATTACAGGGTGCAGAGATTTTGTCAGGATTTGAAAGGCCAGCACATCATTTCAGCCCCTCCCCAGGCCCTGTTGTCACCTTGACCCTCTCATTAAAGGATAAACCGATCAACAAAATAATCTAGCTTCCAAAACCTGGAAGAGTCTGTAAAATTCATGAAGACCACTTCATAAGTACCACTGAACAGAAAACAATATGGTGTTTTTCAGAGGTCCTGGTCAAACATGGCTCCTACTTATCTAAATGGAAGCTAAAATGTCTCGTTATTTCCCATGATCAAGAATCTAATGTCTGAGCATATATCCATCTGTGATAAACACAATGAGTTTAATTTCTTTCTAGTCACACATCTTAAATAATGCTGGCTGCACGTCCTGTCACGCTGTAATAAATTTAAGTGTTTCATGGAGATCTATTGTACTACACTGCTCTCCACTTACAGCAATGATTCTTTCAATTGATGCTTGGCTACCCAGTTGCACAGGTGTGCAGATGAAATACATATATATTTCTTGCTAAGAATATTGGGATTCACACTGTCATGAACCCTGTGGAAGTCCGAGTGACGGCCAAGATTTTTAACAGCTCCTGAGCAATAAAACCAGACAGTTGCTATACATTATGCTTTTCCTCCCGCTTAACAACAAAACACACATTAAATATAAATTACCCTCAAGAGAGGACAAATGCGGACTGATTCTGGTCTTATTCTTCTAATAGCTAAGGTGTTGTACCAGAATCACTAATCATCTTGAGCAACCCATGTTTCAGTGGCTAATAAATGCTGCTGTGCTAGACAACTTAAAAAAATTGTATCTTGACGTTGCCTCCTGGTAGGAGTGCATGCTCTTCTTTTGCATTTAGAGCTGCAGAGTACTCAGATATTCTTTTCCACTGCTGTGATTTCTGATATGCCAGAGGAAGAATATAGGAACTGCATTATGGCCTGACTGGTCTGAGTATCTTCTCTCCAGCAACATCATTAACATGGCCAAATCAAAAAGCAACACACTACCATTGTATTCACACTCTTAGATCTACAGGGCTATTAAGCTATAGATCATGCCGACATTTGCTTTAGTCTCAGTGGCAACCTGTCTTTTCCTTCTTTGCATGTGAATATGCTTTGGTAAAGATTTTGCCTTGGTGCTACATGGAATATAATGACAAGTTCAGTTCCAAAAATCCTAATGAAGATAAGATTGGCTGAAGAAGGTGTGCCAAGATGTGCTAAAAGGAATTCTTCTGCCTAGAAAGGCAAAACTAAATTATAGAAGATTGGATCTTGGAACTAATCCTATTTAATCTTTTCTTTAATGACCTTGGCATAAGAAATAAAAGTATGAAAATGACAATTATGTGGTACAAAAATGGACATCAGACGATGAAAATAACACATGAGAACAGGCAAGAATTGTAATGCTTTGGAGTACAAGGTCATGCATTTATGCATGACTGGTTATAAAGTGCGAGCTCATAACTTGCAAATGATTGAGAAGGATAAAAATCTGAGTGCAACTAACTGAGCACAGAATAAGTATGTGCCAAAAAAAACACGCAAATATGAATCTGGGTGAAGTCAGGGACATATTCTGAGCACAGCTAGAGAAGTATCGAAATGTACACTCCTAGTAAGACTTTATTTGGAATGCAGGGTACACTTCTAGTCATTCAGGATCAGAATGACTCGAATTAGAACCACTGCATAGGAATATTATGACACATTGAACATGTCATTCCAGGAAGGACTGTCAATCTTTGCTTAGGCAGCAAAGTAAATAAAATCTGAGAAGGGAAATGCCTATACTCTATAAATGTTTCTTGAAGGGAAACACCGAGGAGGTGCATATAAACACTTCTATGTAATATCTAATACACAATGATATAGATTAGATTAGCTATATAGTAATCAATTATTAACAAGTAATATATAATGTTCATTATATGAATAATATAATTTAATATAGCGAATAATGTTATATATGATGTTGTATTATATTTATTATCTTGTAACATACTATATATATTACATTATTGTATTAAACGTACTATCCAATAGTGAATAGTGGAATAATATTATAGTGGTTTATGTAATACAACAACATATTATATATTATAAATTACATATTATTGTTAGGGTAGCTATTAAAATTATGCATTATATTATAGATTGTATAAGTGCAGTAATTGCATCTTATATTGCATAATTATATCAAAAATGTTAATTTTATGTAATCTATAATATAATGTTATATAAACTCTACATTAATGTTGAAAAAACTTAACATAGTAGATTCACACGTCATACAAAATAGCAATCACAAGGAAATTTTGAGATATTTGCAGGCTTTTTTGTTTATCCTTGGTTAATATATTAAAATTCTTTCCATTTAACTATTAAGAGAAAAAAATACTTTGAAAGCAACAAAAATACTTATGGTAATTTGCTAAACTAGTTGGTGCTTATATTAAATCAAAAAGTAGTAAGCATTTTTAAGAGGCAGAACTGAGAAAGCGAACTGCAATTCCTGCACCATGTGGTCAGGGTGACTTTTGTTTGCACTTACCCATTCTTTCCCTGAGTAGTGACTACATTAAATCAGCAATATCTGTGGACTTAGGCTCACTGCATCTTATGGAGCAACATTTATTGACTCCAGTAAGTTTGGATATAACAAGGATTTTGTACATGCAAAATCTAATATTTTCACTTGAATTTACGAAATAATACAGAGATTCTTATCAAAAGACATTTACCCTACAAAAGGCTATTCTACTTTCTAGTTTTCTCTTTTCTGTTGATAATTTTTGGCATTGTAATTACTGTCGGCTAGAACACTAAAAAATAAAAATTTGAATTGGTTCTCTGTGTACACTCATTCAGGCACTGAATGTTTCAGATTTAAATATATACAGATTTCAACAGGAAAAAAGAGAATCTGTTAACGTTTTCTCAATCTTATTCAGTACTAATTTCCTCTATGTTAATAAAAATCAGTCAACACTATCTGTCAAGTTATCTGAATTTTGTTAGAGTAGCAAGACATATTACAAGTGTCACTGCACTGTAGGGCAGAGGAAGAGGAAGTAAGAGTCCTTTATTTCTATGAGGACTTTTTTAATACCAAGGATTGCATCCAAAATATTTCTGTTCATCTCCTTGATGCATTTCTTTGTTCTAGTTTGGAATAATTTTCTTCCAGCATGCAAATATGCACAATGTGCTTTACGTAGAGCCAAAGTTATTAAAAACCTGAAATCCTCTTCTTTAATCTCTATTAATAATTGTATAAATGTAGTATCCTGATAATCCTCAAAAGAGGGTATTAGGACACGTAAATGTTGTAAGATGAAAGCTGCAATCATGAGTTTCTCACACTGTACAAAACACCCTAGTGAACTACCTTGAACACAGATTTACTGAATTTTAAACTGGCACTTCGTCTCTGTTTCAGCAAGCGTCCTCTGCAGATTTAATGATCAGGAACATCCTCCTGATGCACGCTGGTAGATACGGCTGCAGGGTCCAGACGGCAGCGGACACCGTGTCGGATGAGACGGAGCTGCTTGTGAGGGGTGAGCATGCTGGCCGTGCCTCCTGAAAACACAGTCACCAAAAATTATTTACCGGGGAATTTAAATATGTGGGCTTCAGGGCATCTGTGCTACATATTATTCTTCAGATTTTATACTACCGAAAACATTTGTGATTAACCTACTATCTTTGAAAGCAGTTTCACCGTAAACTGGCCTGCAGACATGGCAGTGAGAAATAAAAGACAGTTGGCTAATAGACACACAGTCTTAAGAGAGGTAATAGGACAAAAGGTATACCAGATTAGCTAAAATGTAGACAATTAGCATTCACAGGCCTGTGTAAGGTAGGTGTGATGAGTTCTGTGCCTTTTATGTGATGCTTTATATTTCATTTTATGACCAAGCCATTCTCTCATGTTTAATGGTTTAGGAATATTCATTCACTTCCTAAGAGGAGGGACCATGCAGCATCTTGTAAAATGACAGATGTGAACAATGAACCAAAAACCCTCTAATATGATGGGGATTTGGTTTTCTTCACAGATGGAATTATCACTACCAAATTTCGACTGCATCGCTAGACCCAGTCCTGTAATCTGTTGAGTTGCCTCACCTCCCACTTAGTGTTCCTGATTGTGCATAGGAACACAGAGTCATTGTCCTGCAGGATCCCACATCATATCGAGGACACCAACTAACTTTGAGTAAAGCAGGGTGTTAGCGCCATATGTGCATTCCGTTAAGCAGAGTATTTCTGCATTCTGCACTACTTCTGTGTGTGTGCACACGTGTTTAGTGCCTGTTGGAACTGAGGATTTACAGTCCACTTACTGGCATTACAACTGGTGGGCCCTGCAATGTCAAGGGTAGCACAGCAGGGTAGCTTTACTGTGAATTAGACATTTTTTGAAAGAATAAATCAAGGTAGATGTTTTATTAACATTTGAAAAAACTCCATATAAAAAAAATCAAAACTATTTAGGGATTATAACCTTTCAAAAATATTTATTCTACCACATTCCACCACATGTTTACATTTGATATGTTTATATCCACCACTTTTAGGACAAATATATGCTTTAAATGAAAAAGAATGTTTCTGGCTGACTGCAGGGCTCTTCACTTTTTGATGAAAGTAGCTGCTTAATATTTCCATGAGGTAATTTTTAGGACAATCAGATTTCTATGAGCTTCAGCGCTATTGGGATGGTGGTATTCAGTTGCCTCAACACAGACATGTAATGCAAGTTTCGCTGCCTTATGAAATCTGATTCATCCTTGTGGGTTATGCAAGACCTTATGTGTTACTTTTACCTGTCTCGGACACGAGCTGGAGGCTCTATGGATAGGCAAGGCAATCTCGACTTTAATGCCATTGAACTTATTAGTGACAAAAGTCTCTTAGTTTACTATTACCTAGGACACTGAAGACTGGCTACAAAATTATTCTTTCAAGTATACTGGTTATATAAATTGGTTTATTGAATTTGATGCAGAAAATAAATGCTCATCTGAGGAAGAAGTTTGAGACTAAAGGAAAAAGGGCATTGTAAGCACTTTCAGAACGTATGTGGGTGTCTCATTACCATGCCACCTTGCTAATGACATGAAAACTATGACTGCTTTATAATGGAATTTAAATTCAAATACACTTTGCTTACAATGTTCTCCTTTTCTTGTTTCTACAACTGGATAATTATAGGATGCAGTAAGAAATGTTTGCATCACTTTCACAAAATACTTTATACTGTGCAACTGCTTTTGTCCTGCTGTAAAGCTTAGTTTTCATGAAATTACAGGATATGCTTGGTTTGCTGAAGTAGTTAATTTTGTTAAAATACCTGTAAAATTTATGCAAGTGAGGGCAATAAAATCCCACGGTGTCAGTATTGCTTTCAGCAAAAAATGTAGGATGGTTTTGTTCTGTGTTGCTGAAAATGTTTAAAGCACATCCTGTGCAAACTTGCTAATGATTGCTCTTTAGAGATTTCAGCATTTCAAAAATCCAAAATACTGAGAAGAATCTCCCCAAGGAAGTTGTGGATGCCCCATCCCTGGAGGTGTTCGAGGCCAGGCTGGATGAGGCTTTGAGCAACCTGGGCTAGTGGGAGGTGTCCCTGCCCATGGCAGGGGGGTTGGAACTCGATGATCTTTCAGGTCCCTTTCAACCCAAACCGTTCTATGATTCCATGGTTCTATGATTCATATGATCTAACATATCTCTCCTTATACTGTTTCAGGCATTTCATTTTAATTTCATTATCTCTAATTCTTTTTTCTCCCCATCTCAGTTTATAGAGTGCACTCAGTGGTCTGCAATATGACACTGCCTGATGATCCCAAATTGCAGCACCTTTCAAAATTCTTTAGGTTTAGCTTTTGGAGATACCAGACATTGCTTAGGAGAAGAGACCAGCAGCAACAGATGTTTCAATAAATATTTCAGTAAACTCTGAAGAATTCCACCTGACAGAGGAAGTCATAATCTATGAAGATAACCCGTTGACACTATGCAGTAAAGTTTGAAATCCAAAGCTATATTATTCTTTATTTCCAGTTTCTACATAAAATTCCTTATTTTATGTATATTACAAAACATCTTTGTGTTTTAAATGTTACAGCCCATGGCCAAACTGAGATAGCAGAAGCTTTGTTACAAACTCTTAAAAGTACCGATATATGCAACATTCCAGCACATCCTTGTTCTGACCTTAATCTCTCTCCTTTTGCCTCTGCAGAAAATGTCAGTCCTGAATGCTGATAATATCATACCAGCATGCAACAACATTTCAATTATTAGTTATATTGTAAGGTTCATCTGGTATTTTTAATATATCATTGCAATTTTTACTCAAAAACTTTTCTGCTTACACTATTTCTATAGGAAATAAATCAGACAAAAAAAAATTAAATTAAAATAATTTAATTTTCCCTCCTCTAGATATTCATGAAAATCAGAATTATTGCTTTTAGCAGTTTATGCTGAATTATGTATTCAAGTGATGCACTATTTTTAAGTCAAAGGATAGTCTTCTAGAACTTTAATGCAAGTGGTTTGGAAGACGACTATGCCTTGCTGCAGCCTCTTTAGACAGAGGAAAGAGAAAAACTCTTCGCAGACTCCTATTGCTCATAACTAACATGCTGATCTTCAGCAGACACTCACCACTGAATTGTAATGTCTCAGTGTCATTTATCATGGAGAAAGCATGGAGTATCCTTAAATCATATTCATCTTTTTTGAAATAATTATTGCTAACTGCTCTGTTGGAAGATCCTTTGAATATATGCTAGAGAACTAACTGTGTCACTGTTTTTTGCCCTTGTTCTTCTTTGCTCTGCATTATACAGTATAAATTAAATTCCAAAAATGCGACCAGTGAAAGACAATCTGAAGAACAGAGAAAGAATAGTGTCAAGTACAATATCTTTTTTTTTTTTTTAGTCTAATGGTTTACAAGAAGGTAATTAATGGTCCAAGAAGCTTTCTGAATTTACTGTATATGTACAATGTGTATGTGTGTATGAACAACTAAGGAAATTAAGACAGTAGCGAGTTTCTTCTATTCTGCAACTTTCTACAATGGGTTATACATTTTTAAAACCATTTTCAAACCATTTTCAAATTCATTACCTCTCACTTGCTAATTTTAGGTTAGTTGCGGTGAAATATGTCTAATGTTATTTCCATAACGATTTTTATGTAGCGAAACTCATTCATGAACAGTTCAAAACTATATAAGAAAAGATATTCTGCATCATGTTTGGACAAGACCAAGATTCAAGTCCCTTCAGCACCTACGACTCAAAACAAAACCTAAATACTTTTCTAAGTTCTTCGAAATGTGATTAAATTACATGTATTAAAGTAAGAGCAAATTTTAGTGGTTTCTAATAATTTCTCTGGTTCTTAAATGCTGTATTTCCAGCACAAGTTATTTATATTTCCCTTTCTTTTGCATTTTTCTCATACTACGAATAATGCAGATTTAATTAGGAAGAGTTTTTCTGCTGGCAGCTAGACCTGTCAGGCAGTACGTTACCTTTCCTTGCATTTTAATCTTGAAATGGGGTTTGAATGAGAAGTATTTCCCTAGTCTCATGCTAGTCAACAGTGACCTTCAGAGGTCTGCTGTCCAGACATGCCTGACATCTTCTGTTTATTTTCAGGTAGGCTACTATTTAACTTGCAAAAGCACTTCCTCTGCAAAATACGGTTCTACAAAATTCTCTGCAACTAATCATCACAAGTTGTTCTTATTATTAGGTACCTAAAAAAATAAGTCATGATCCTTTATTTATCCATTTGAGATCCACCATCCCCTCTAAATAGACACTGTGGAAGACACTGAATATGGGGGGATGAGAGACCGGATTCAGCCCAAAGGTCAGGATTTAGTTAAAGCAGAAGAGGTGATACCAACTACTTACAGCTTAGCTCAATAACTGCACTGCTCATCTACGAGGTAGGAATTTCTTTTTAGCTGTCTCATACCCAGCCTCAAAATCACACTTATCTCTCCTCGAGAGCATGCTACACCTGCAGGTAGTAGATTAGGTGGGATCAAGATGTGTTCAACCCCCTTTCTGAGGCAGAGTACCCAGGAGCAAAGAAATCAGGAGACAAACCAATGAGAGCCTGACTGCGTAGGGCACAATTTAGGGTATCTCCAGCAACCCAGATATTTGCTTCTTTCATTGAGCTGACTATTGCCCAAAAAAATGAGCTAGTTCTCAAGGGAACCATTGTTAACAGCTTAAGCCAGTACACTGAAGTGTGTATTTGGAAAGGGAAAAGCTGAACAGGCATGTGCCCTCCACACTGGACTTGCCCTCCAGCAGGGCAATGAGGTAGATAGTGGTAGAGCCTTAAATGTCGCTGTAAGGTTTCTGGAAGACAGAGTCATCAGAAGCCCTAGCAGCAGAATGAGACATTTAAGGCAGGCTGGTACAGCTCAAGGGCGTCCAGAAGAGAAAACAGCTTTTCACATAGGGTGGTAACTATTCTGGCACCAGATCTGCACAAATGTGCTGCTTCA